GCTCAGGTGGCTTTCCACAGCAGACATGCTACTCTCCTCCACATCTCCTCCACAACCCCAGACCAAGGTCAGACTAACCCTGGGGAGCAATGGCCGACGGCGTGCTGTCACCACGCTGCAGCAACGCAGTCACTGGAAATGAGAGTATGGCTGCAAAAACGCAGCAGCTCCCCCCAAACCACGGCTTGCTCTCACCCTTCCCTGGTGCCAGCACTAGCGTGGTGACACGAAGTTTTATGAGGTTCGTTTTAACCCTACGGTCCAGCCCTTGCAGCAGTGCCAGGGAAGGGGCACTTGCACAGCCTCCCCACTCCGCAGGGCCAAGCTGCTCTGCTCCCAACAGCTGCGTTTTGCATGCCAGTGAAAGAAGAGTAATTTTTTTAAAAAAAAAGCAAATCTCTTTCACGTGGACTTGCAGGCAGCTCTGTTCTGCTGGGTGGCATACGGAGAAGATGATGGTGACTACTGGCTCCCCCTTGGCCCTTCTCAGGCTGCTGTACTTGGCAGGAGATGTCCTGCAGGAAGGTATGACCCCACAGCCGGGCTGCCTTTGGTTTGCATTTAGCGCTGGTCTGCAGGACGGACTAGCAGGAGGTTCAGCTCTGCTTCCAGCTATTCCCCTGCTTGGTCCTGGACGGATCCTTTCAGAGGTGAGCCTGGGCATACGGACACATAAAACTCTGAGTGGAGGTGTACAAAAGATGCCGACTGCTTAACTAAGGATTGCTTTCTGAAAGCATTCACATCTGGCTCAAACCACAGCTGGAGACACCGCAGCGGCGCTGCCCGTTTCCCACTGGCAGCACTCACAAACCTGCCAGGCACAGCCACCCGTGCCCCAGTTGCAGGACAGGCACCAAGAGCCCAGCTCACCTCTCTGAGCACCAGCCCCAGCTGCAGAAAAAAAAATTTTGAGACAATTTGAAGTGGAATCAGAGAGAGGGACTCAGCACCCAGTGACACCAGCAGGGGCTCGCTAGCACCTACCGCACTAAACTGCTGGCAAGGAGGGAAGTTAGGGAGCTTCTCCTACTTTCAGAGCCAAAACTTGAGTGCAAAGCCACTGTTTTGTCTTACCTGAGGGTCCCCAAAGTAGATCTGCATGATCAGGGCCACCGTGACCCCCATGGCGAAGGTCAGGCAGGCGGTGATGATGACAGTCAGCCCATCCTGTCGGCAGCTGCAGTCCCCAGAGAAAGGATCCTTGCTGGTCTCCCGGAGAGGGGACACGTCCTGGCTCCCCATCTCTGACGAGGACGAGGGCAGGCGCTGGAGACGCGCAGACTTCAGGAAGGAGTCTGGGTCTTTGTGGGCAGCAGGGAGAAAACAAGTGTTAGTTATTGAGCAACACGGGGCTCTTATTGCAGTGTTTACCCAGCGCTAACGTTACACCGGGCCCCTTCCAGCAAGGCTATTACCTTCCCTATTGATCCCAGCTCTCAAGAGACTTTCTGGCTCAGATGCTGCTTTAGGTCATTGCACTGATTCCTTCCTTTAGCTCTAGTTACTCCAAACTGACTTCCCTGGAGATTAAGAGGGGCAAAAAACCTGAATTTTGCTCCAGTTCAGTCCATTCATCAGTCTTCAGTGATGGGCCCACAGTTACTGCTCCATTTGGAAGGGTTCTTACCACAGCAGTGGCTTGCAAACAGGTCTCTGAAACACGGCAGGACTGAAGAAGAGGAAATTAAGATATGAAAAAAAGATAAAATCCAGCAGCCTTATGTGGAGCTATGCTTGAGCTAAAGCACCTGAGCAAAACAAGCGAAGCAAGACACGTGGCCTGGGCACAAGAAATACCTCTACGGAAGCGTGGCAAAGTGAGGGCAGAGAGAAGCAAACCTGAAAACCGGAGGCCCTCGGGGCGTCCACCCGCTCAGGAAAGGTTCTGCTTTAATTTCTTGCTTCCTCCAGCCTCTGAGGCTTGCTGCGAAACCAAGCCGCTTGCCAAGCTCCAAGGTGGCCAATGCAATGGGGCAGGGTTTTGCTGGGCACCCGCCGGATGGCAAAGAATGTTCGGCAGGATACGAAAGTCTCTCTTTTGCTCTGAAAGATGCCTTGACTCTCTGCTCGCCTCAGCCGCTGCCTTTGTGGTGGGGAGGGGCCGGCTGAGTGTGCCCTGCCTGTGCGCCGAGCACACCTGGGGACACACACGTGGGGACATGTCTGGCCCTGTCAGGCTCCGAATGGGACCGAGTGGCTCAGTGACTCCTGGATGAATTTCTGGGGGAGCTGCTAAGAGCCAGTGCAGCCTACAGTGCTCCACACATTCATAGTGGGAAGAAGAGCAGAAAAGACAAGAAGCTTGTCCCTCCACACATTTCCCAGGTTTGGGGTAAGGGAGAAGGAAACCTGCATCCAATGTCACCCCACTGTGCATCTCCAGCAGGCAGTTATTTCCCTAGGGGCTGCCAGCCCTGTCCCTGCCACGACTTTAAGAAGATCTCCTGGGTGCAGCTCCCC